CACACATTTAATGAGAAGAGCTCTGAATGTACCATTCCAAAAAATTGTTTTTGTAAGGTCTTATAGTAATACAGATACAGTTAAGCCTACTTCAAAGTTGCTTTGGAAATAACACAGCTTTTTGTACCTATCTTCGCCTTTTACATCCTCTGGGCTGGAACCTAGCTTCTCCAAATTTCAGCTGTGGAAAATGGCTGAACCTTTATCATACTGAAGTTTTTTTTTAACGTATCTACGTATTACAGTCTACACATTACATACAACCAACTTACAGTAGGCTACCTACAGAACATGATATTCATGAACACCACAAACAGACTGGAAAAATAAATTGAGACCCATTTACACCTTATGAGCTACATGTATGACAAGGTTTGCTGTGGTATATTATATAGCTTTGAAAGACAATCCTTTGATGGCAAACATGTCCAGCAAGCTGTTTGCGGAGAATCCTGTCTTGCAAGAGAATGTTGAAGCATACATTGTTTTTGTCAATTTTAAACAAGAAGCTTGCCAGATCCTGGTCCAAAGATGATCAGGCTTCCAGATGTAGGTTATGTACTATATCTTGCTTGTAAATTCATTGTGGTGGTAAATTGGATCACTCTTCATCAACTTCAATGGAAAGAATGTGTTTTCCTGGCACCATGGCTAAACCAAGGATCCTTGGTTCCTCCTTCTCATCTGTCACACAGAAGAATAAACACGAGATTAGTCTGATATCATGGGTGGCAAATTTCTCCTTATTTGGCAGGGAATTTTAGGGTTAACTTATAATTTCACAAGTGAAATTGCAAAATTGCCATGGCAACATTTTGACATGAAATTTCTCGATACAATAAACAAGCCAAAAGCCCAGGATTGTAAGGAAAATTGAATAATGACTTCCCACTTCAAAATCAAGCATCACCAGTCAGAAGTGTAGCAGCTCTCGTAAGCTTGTAATTCTCTTCATTGTTAGTAGCTGTTATTGTTTTGGGGCTAGGTGCATTGTTTCTGGTGTTTGTTCCATTGTCCTCTCAAAGGGTAGCAAGCCATTCATGTGAGACCTTACAAGACCTGCTACATCACCCTCACCAGTTGGCATTTTGACAAATGTCCCAAGGAATTTCGGCCAGAATTGTAGATATGACTGTGTCAAATGAAATAGAAAATACATATTTCTGTCAACTAGTGTTAGGGCTATCTTCCTTCAGCAAGTTGAAAATCTTAATCAGATTACTGAAAATCTGATCTAAAAATGCTAATCAGATCTCTGAACGAAGCAATCCAATAAATTAATGGAACTGTACCTGTGGAACCAACAAACTCTTGACAGGATCCTAAAATAATATTCCTGTCCTGGTCAGTGCACAGGAAAGAGCCAATCAATGTCCTTCCATCAGAAATCTTTATTCTCATGATCTTGTTCAGCCATGACTCTAAAAGTTTCCTTTTCTCACTCTTCTCTGCACTATCACTGTTAATGTCAGTCTTGTAGAGAAAGGAAAAAAACACATCAATGAATTGAAGATTTAGTTGTAAACCTTGAATCAATGGATCATGAGTACATAAGGGATAATCAGTTGAGTGTCGATTGATAAACTTGATCGACCTGCAATGGACACTTGATCGAAATCTTAATCAAGACTTGACCAACATCCTGATCGATACTCAGTCAACACTTGATCGACACTCAATCAACATCCTGATCGACACTCCATCGACACTCGATCAACAGTCAATTGATAGTCCAAGTGTCCATTGACTTGTGCATCAACTGAAACTTAGTTGACCGAGATGTCGATTGAGTGTCAACTGAGGTGTTGATGGTGTATCAATTGAGGGTCAATTGAGGGCATTGATAGAGGATATTGACTGACACTCAAACGTGGATCCCTTTAGTACACATGATCCGAATAAACTAAAACTGATATGAGGGCATTCATATTAATATTACTTACCACAACTTTGCATACTTTTAAACATTTCCAGCTATTTTTAGTTAAACATTCAATGAAAGGTAAGTGTGAAGGTTTGCATTCTGTTGCTCCTCTGGGTAGCTCCACGCTGCTGCCCTGACCTATCTACATCCCTCAAAATTTGCCAGTCAAGTGAAATCTTTTGTCTGCTCATATCTTGATAATTAATTTACAGATAAGTAAATATTTTATAAAACAAATTTTGCATGAATTATTTGGCATTTCGTTCCGTTCTGATCAGATTCTTGTTTAAACGCTTTAAGTTTAAGCTTATTTGTTACTTTCAAACCGACAAAGAAACGCAAAACGATGTACGCTTACAGACAGCTGCAGTAGCTCAGCTCATAAAGTGTAGTATCAGAAACTAAAAGATAAGAATCGTACCAAGTTAGTTGTAGATTCTTCATTGTCCTCAAGAGCCTGGAAATGTTAATGTAGGTACGACAATATTAGAGATTAGAAAACTAAAGAACAGTCGATAATATTGCAGTAAAATTTACCAAGTCGACGGCCTCTTCTTCCGCAAGTCCATCCGCCATATTTTCCCACAATACCGGCAGGGACTAAGTACCAACGCTCCCGGATGTAACTGGCGCATTACCCGGATATAGTGATTGACCAATTATCTCTTTATGACGTCAGTTTTATTGCGTCGTTAGTTTTTCCGAGGAGTCCATCTTTGTTGGGTGTTGAGTAACTTTCGCGAAGGAAAATCCATTTCCATCGAACTCTACGAAAGGTTTTTTTCTTGTATAATATAGTATTTGCCTTAGTATTTATCCCAGTTTTCGATAGTTTGTTAATTGTGTCACCATTGATGCCTCTGAACCTGAGAATTATGGTTCAAAAGTTACGAATCGCCGTTGTTTGCTCCAGCAACCAAAACCGCAGTATGGAAGCGCATAATTTCTTAAGGTAAAACGTTTACATCTTGGAAAGCGTTTGGAGAGACGATATACCGTCTAGGTGTTTAGAAACGACGATTTACTTTCGTTTGTTTCGTGTTCTTAAGGGAAGAAAAACGGTAGGAATGTTATTTCGTTTCTTTTGTTTCAGCAAGCGCGGTTTCAACGTGAAATCCTTTGGTTCTGGAGTGCAAGTGAAGCTGCCTGGACCAGCACCGGATCGACCAAACATTTATTCGTTTGAAACAACCTACGATGAAATGTACAAAGATTTACTGAAAAGAGACCCACAACTGTATCCAGTCGATTTTCGAAGTTTAAGCGTTGTTGCTATCCAAGAGTAGCAAACAGGCGGTAATCCGGTAATAGAAATTTGCTCAGATTCTATTTGCATACCATCACGTACGACACGCTCAAACAGTTCCCTTTGGTAAATCATTTTCTATTTTAGAAAACAGGGAATTGGAAAGCACGGGTAAATTCCATTTAGCCTTGTAATAGCCAAGTTTGGTTGGATTTTGCTTTCGTAGGTAACAAGAAGGCAATATATTTGACGTAAGTAAGTTGGGTTGGAGAACGCGATTGACGCCAACGCGTCGTCACAAGAATATGAATATTATTTCTTTGCAGCTCCCCACTAAGAAGTTGACCAGAATGTCCCAGCTCAAAGTGTAAAGCCTGTGTGACCATTTTGAAGAATGAAATGAACTTTCATGATGATCTCACCGCTTATGTAAAAGTAATTAAAAATTAATGTGATCAGGGTGCACAGTGCTTTACATAGTTGAGGCAGACTTCGACAATGTTAGACGGGATTGAAAGAAGAAATGGATCTGATTGTGGCAAAGGTAAAACTGTTTCCTGAGACACATTTTAGTGTGAAATTTTGCTTGAAAAAAGCATTTGTGTCAATAAATCTTTAGTATGGATCACTGTGTTACTAGTGAAATAACCTGCCGAATCAATATCCCCTACCAGCTCCTCCAACATCATCTTTTTAATATTCCTCCTGCGGTGTGGCTATGCCTTTTTAAACCCCAAAATTTAGAAATCACACAAACCTCCTTTGTGTTTCAAAAAATATGCGCTGAAACACAAACTTTTGTGCAATTTTTTTGAGAAAAGCAAAGGCAAATGGACTGGTCACCTTTGAAAAGGACTACTTTTCCTAACAATAAATATGTCATTATTTCCAAGTATTCATTCCAGAAATAATCCCATGACTGTTGTACCTGCCCTTTCCTGGAGCAGTGAAGATAAAAAAGATCAGGCCCTTAGAAAGCGCTGCATGCTTGAAACTGCAAACAAACTTAGATAAATACTGGGTATCAACTGAGATTGGCTTTTGTTTAGAATTCTCATTCAGGGAACCCTGATTTGTGTCTTGTAACAAAAACTCTTGTGGAAGTCGTTGTGCACTATTAGTCTGGTCAGCCCCAAACAAGTCATTCCTCGTTAATACATGAACCTGGTTCCTACATGTGATATGGAAATGACCCTTAAAATTGCGATCAAACATTTTGCGGAGCGCATTCAGTGGTGGTCACTTTACCCAGCAAGTGAGTGGCCAATGAACAGTGTAGAGGTTCCTTTTGAACACTTCATGAAGACATTGAAGCTGATTTGTCACAGTAAAGGAATGAAGTAACAGTCAAATGAGTATTTACTGCCCATTTCAAATCAAACGAGACCAGCAACCACAATAGACTGATCTTCATGATGATTTGTCCATGCTGAGATGAAAATTATGTAAAGAAGCACTCAGACTCTTCTCCTGATTGAAGATGTGGCGGAATTCAAGAGCAGTACGAAACATTTTGACCATGAACTAAATGGGACTTCTGCATTATTATTCCTTTTTGCCCTTCCACTGCAAGATCTTGGGAGGTGCTTGGGGCAAAATTACAAACAGACCACTCAACATCCCTCTCAACAATCCAGTTCAATGGTTTTGTGGGGAAAGAACATTACAAAGAGGAATTAACAAGCTTTGTTACACTCTGCATTCCACATTTGTTATTTCTGTACGCTTTGGGGTGCTGCACAGCATTTTACATTGATATCTTGTACACTAGTCATCAAGACAATGGGTGTTATCATTTGCCCACCTGCCAATCTCTGTTGCATTTTAATTATCTTACTATCAAGAGGGTTACCAAATGAAAGACTGCATATTCTATTTTCAAAGTATCTGGAAAAAAATTCTAAACTGAATTTCATTGTCTTCATTTTATTCAAATTCACTTAAAATGTATAATAGTGAGGCAATTGCAAATAGCTAGACTAAACAGTGTGAGCTTTGTCTGGGTCATCTGTAGAGGGCCAAAAGGTTAGCAGTTTTGGATACTGAATTTTCTTCATATGTCCATTTTCTGCATATTTCTATAAATAGGGTAGAAATAATTTTAAGTTTATCACAGAGATTAAGTGATCATTGCTCTGTCAATTAGCCCAATTTTCTGCACAGCATAACTACCTAACTTGATTGTTCAACTTTGAAATGCATTGGTAATTTTTACTTTTCAATTTGTGTTCAAACTGTTTTCCCAAAAAAACAAAACAACAATCTGCCAGAAACCCCATTGGATGACTTGTTAAAATAGTTGGTGAACTAGTAAGACCAGACACTGAGGCAGGTCAACTCTGTTGAGTTGCTTTTGTACAAAGAGGATATAGGTGTCTAAATAAAGAGAAATCATGCTCTTTTGCAATAAGTGATTTAACAATGGAAATTTTGTCTGTTAGGGTGACTGTGCAGTGAAATCTTAAAATGAAAACTCACATTTTTTGACTGAAGTGCAAGCTGCAACGATCTGGCCAAAGACACTAGATGGGTCTGGCATTGACAAAGCCACTAGAGCTACCACATTGGAGAAATTTCTCTTTCCATTTGGGACAAAATGGCCTACAAATTTAAGTAGCAAGTGTCTGCCAATTAGAAGTCCAATCTCTGTTTGCTTACCTGGCAATAGGGGAGTCAGAGAACTGTTTGAAATGCACCTCTAGTTGTTGTGAAGACTTTACAGTTGGGCATATTGGGAGAACCATGACTGGCCAGTCAAAAACTTTGTTGTGCCATATAGGTGTCAAAAAAATTTCACAAGTTCATTGTATTTCAATGGGATAGGTAATACTTGTTAAATTTTAAGTTTTTTATACGTTGACAAACAACTTGAACCTTATTTTCTCGGCTCTGCTGGGACATTTCACCGAGACTTGAAAACAACTGAGGAAAATTAATGTACTCATCAAGTGCTGGCCCTTGTTAGGAAGAAGTTGATAGCAGGTGGCAGCACATGACATGTCTTAAGTTTTCGCATTTCTGTAGTTTCTGTGCCATTCTGCAAGTGGATTGGTAAACTTTGAAGTGATCTAGACCCTTAAGAAGCAATCAAGCTGAAATAGTTTTGTGTCCTTGCCTGGAAATAAGCAATACTACATGGTCAGGTTAGGAAGTTAATTCTGCTCAGGCTGTATTGCTTTGTGTAAAATAAGTGTTCTTTGGCCAATAAAACTACAGCATTTTGTAATAAGTATGCAAATCTCACGCTAAATTTAGCCTGGGGGGTGAGGCTGTTGTGATACAGCTACCTTAATTTTTTTTAAAGGTTTTTGTAGTCATGGGAAGCCCACAGAGAACCTTCAAAATTTTCTCAGGAATTTGTATTTTTTTGTAACCTTCGAAACATTTGTGTCTGGGATAATTTGCTTTCTTTGTTCAGCTAATCCCTAAAAGGCTATATTGAAGAACTTGTGATATACTAGATCTAGAAATGAAAGAATACATCTTCGTGGGCCTTTCAAAACTGAGACAATACTCAGTCGCTTCTGTAAACAGATCAATGCCATCCTGGTGAGGTGTGTTGATATGTGTTAAAGCATATTCATCAACTGCAAGGTTCCCTTGAGACCAGAAAATTATGGATGGTACAAAACCAAAAGTGCAGTTGCCCAGTTCGAAAGTAAGTTGCTCATCCCTAGGGTCACCCTACCTCGACGAACAAAGTCTGGTGACTTGTGCCTTTTTTAACTTGGTTCATTAAAGGGTGTACTTTTTAATTTATTTCAAACATGATATTTCCAGATAATTTGTTAGTTTCTTATGCATTTTGACCTCCCAATGCCTTATATGGGGTGGGTGTGGCTTGCCAGCAATGGAAATTCAGCCAGAACAATGTGGAAAAGGAAAGTGACAAAATAAGTTTCTAAATGGCGAACATCAATATTACTTAATTATGGCAATATTGCACATGGTTATCATGTCCCGTGTCGCCTTAGTTTGTCAGTGATTGCTGTTTTGCTGATGCTTACCCCCTTCCACTCTAGAAAGGTTTATTTTTGACACCTTGGGAAGGGAGGGCCTGTTTAAAGCCGTTCAATAGTTTTATGTTACCGTGTAAATCTGAAGAGCACAGACTGGTAATTTGACCTTTGAAACAATTCTGCTGCAGTCAGTCATGGAGAGAATTGTGGTTATTATTGGTAGTTTATTCCTCGCAGCTGATGTGTTTCTTGTTATACAACATTCAAATCTAGACTAACTCTTGATTTGCTCTGTAAGTACCGGTAAATGCTATAGGCATGCAGCGTCACAATGTTTGGGTATGTAAGGTTTGATGCCAGATTACCATTACGTTGCCTCGGAAGTTCTGAAAAGAGTCACCACTAGGCAAAGAGAGAAGCGAGGGCTTGTCTTTGTCCTTCCAAGACAGTTTACTGCAGAGTACAACATGTGCTGCTACAAAGCTGTAGTTTTCTAAGAGCAGACTGAATTGAATGACGGAACAACTCCCAGCATTACCAAGCTGTCCATTCCATCCAGAGGAAGCCCTTATAGTCATGTTACGGCCCCAAACCTTTCAGCATGTGTGTCTACAGAGCTGCTTTCCAAATTTTCTGGCATGTGGTCCTATCACCTCCAGGATGTGGCATGTGGTCTTATCACCTAGGATTCATTAGGATTTGCCACTAGGCAAAGGGAGAAGCAAGGGCTTGTCTTTGTCCTTTCAAGACACTTTACTGCAGAGTACAACATGTTGCCACAAAGCTGTAGTTTTCTCTGAGTAGTCTGAATTGAATGACTGAACAACTCCCAGCATTACCAAGCCCTCCATTTCATCAAAAGGAAGCCCTTATAGTCGTGTAACAGCCCCAAACCTTTCAGCATGTGTGNTGTTGGGTGTTGAGTAACTTTCGCGAAGGAAAATCCATTTCCATCGAACTCTACGAAAGGTTTTTTTCTTGTATAATATAGTATTTGCCTTAGTATTTATCCCAGTTTTCGATAGTTTGTTAATTGTGTCACCATTGATGCCTCTGAACCTGAGAATTATGGTTCAAAAGTTACGAATCGCCGTTGTTTGCTCCAGCAACCAAAACCGCAGTATGGAAGCGCATAATTTCTTAAGGTAAAACGTTTACATCTTGGAAAGCGTTTGGAGAGACGATATACCGTCTAGGTGTTTAGAAACGACGATTTACTTTCGTTTGTTTCGTGTTCTTAAGGGAAGAAAAACGGTAGGAATGTTATTTCGTTTCTTTTGTTTCAGCAAGCGCGGTTTCAACGTGAAATCCTTTGGTTCTGGAGTGCAAGTGAAGCTGCCTGGACCAGCACCGGATCGACCAAACATTTATTCGTTTGAAACAACCTACGATGAAATGTACAAAGATTTACTGAAAAGAGACCCACAACTGTATCCAGTCGATTTTCGAAGTTTAAGCGTTGTTGCTATCCAAGAGTAGCAAACAGGCGGTAATCCGGTAATAGAAATTTGCTCAGATTCTATTTGCATACCATCACGTACGACACGCTCAAACAGTTCCCTTTGGTAAATCATTTTCTATTTTAGAAAACAGGGAATTGGAAAGCACGGGTAAATTCCATTTAGCCTTGTAATAGCCAAGTTTGGTTGGATTTTGCTTTCGTAGGTAACAAGAAGGCAATATATTTGACGTAAGTAAGTTGGGTTGGAGAACGCGATTGACGCCAACGCGTCGTCACAAGAATATGAATATTATTTCTTTGCAGCTCCCCACTAAGAAGTTGACCAGAATGTCCCAGCTCAAAGTGTAAAGCCTGTGTGACCATTTTGAAGAATGAAATGAACTTTCATGATGATCTCACCGCTTATGTAAAAGTAATTAAAAATTAATGTGATCAGGGTGCACAGTGCTTTACATAGTTGAGGCAGACTTCGACAATGTTAGACGGGATTGAAAGAAGAAATGGATCTGATTGTGGCAAAGGTAAAACTGTTTCCTGAGACACATTTTAGTGTGAAATTTTGCTTGAAAAAAGCATTTGTGTCAATAAATCTTTAGTATGGATCACTGTGTTACTAGTGAAATAACCTGCCGAATCAATATCCCCTACCAGCTCCTCCAACATCATCTTTTTAATATTCCTCCTGCGGTGTGGCTATGCCTTTTTAAACCCCAAAATTTAGAAATCACACAAACCTCCTTTGTGTTTCAAAAAATATGCGCTGAAACACAAACTTTTGTGCAATTTTTTTGAGAAAAGCAAAGGCAAATGGACTGGTCACCTTTGAAAAGGACTACTTTTCCTAACAATAAATATGTCATTATTTCCAAGTATTCATTCCAGAAATAATCCCATGACTGTTGTACCTGCCCTTTCCTGGAGCAGTGAAGATAAAAAAGATCAGGCCCTTAGAAAGCGCTGCATGCTTGAAACTGCAAACAAACTTAGATAAATACTGGGTATCAACTGAGATTGGCTTTTGTTTAGAATTCTCATTCAGGGAACCCTGATTTGTGTCTTGTAACAAAAACTCTTGTGGAAGTCGTTGTGCACTATTAGTCTGGTCAGCCCCAAACAAGTCATTCCTCGTTAATACATGAACCTGGTTCCTACATGTGATATGGAAATGACCCTTAAAATTGCGATCAAACATTTTGCGGAGCGCATTCAGTGGTGGTCACTTTACCCAGCAAGTGAGTGGCCAATGAACAGTGTAGAGGTTCCTTTTGAACACTTCATGAAGACATTGAAGCTGATTTGTCACAGTAAAGGAATGAAGTAACAGTCAAATGAGTATTTACTGCCCATTTCAAATCAAACGAGACCAGCAACCACAATAGACTGATCTTCATGATGATTTGTCCATGCTGAGATGAAAATTATGTAAAGAAGCACTCAGACTCTTCTCCTGATTGAAGATGTGGCGGAATTCAAGAGCAGTACGAAACATTTTGACCATGAACTAAATGGGACTTCTGCATTATTATTCCTTTTTGCCCTTCCACTGCAAGATCTTGGGAGGTGCTTGGGGCAAAATTACAAACAGACCACTCAACATCCCTCTCAACAATCCAGTTCAATGGTTTTGTGGGGAAAGAACATTACAAAGAGGAATTAACAAGCTTTGTTACACTCTGCATTCCACATTTGTTATTTCTGTACGCTTTGGGGTGCTGCACAGCATTTTACATTGATATCTTGTACACTAGTCATCAAGACAATGGGTGTTATCATTTGCCCACCTGCCAATCTCTGTTGCATTTTAATTATCTTACTATCAAGAGGGTTACCAAATGAAAGACTGCATATTCTATTTTCAAAGTATCTGGAAAAAAATTCTAAACTGAATTTCATTGTCTTCATTTTATTCAAATTCACTTAAAATGTATAATAGTGAGGCAATTGCAAATAGCTAGACTAAACAGTGTGAGCTTTGTCTGGGTCATCTGTAGAGGGCCAAAAGGTTAGCAGTTTTGGATACTGAATTTTCTTCATATGTCCATTTTCTGCATATTTCTATAAATAGGGTAGAAATAATTTTAAGTTTATCACAGAGATTAAGTGATCATTGCTCTGTCAATTAGCCCAATTTTCTGCACAGCATAACTACCTAACTTGATTGTTCAACTTTGAAATGCATTGGTAATTTTTACTTTTCAATTTGTGTTCAAACTGTTTTCCCAAAAAAACAAAACAACAATCTGCCAGAAACCCCATTGGATGACTTGTTAAAATAGTTGGTGAACTAGTAAGACCAGACACTGAGGCAGGTCAACTCTGTTGAGTTGCTTTTGTACAAAGAGGATATAGGTGTCTAAATAAAGAGAAATCATGCTCTTTTGCAATAAGTGATTTAACAATGGAAATTTTGTCTGTTAGGGTGACTGTGCAGTGAAATCTTAAAATGAAAACTCACATTTTTTGACTGAAGTGCAAGCTGCAACGATCTGGCCAAAGACACTAGATGGGTCTGGCATTGACAAAGCCACTAGAGCTACCACATTGGAGAAATTTCTCTTTCCATTTGGGACAAAATGGCCTACAAATTTAAGTAGCAAGTGTCTGCCAATTAGAAGTCCAATCTCTGTTTGCTTACCTGGCAATAAGGGAGTCAGAGAACTGTTTGAAATGCACCTCTAGTTGTTGTGAAGACTTTACAGTTGGGCATATTGGGAGAACCATGACTGGCCAGTCAAAAACTTTGTTGTGCCATATAGGTGTCAAAAAAATTTCACAAGTTCATTGTATTTCAATGGGATAGGTAATACTTGTTAAATTTTAAGTTTTTTATACGTTGACAAACAACTTGAACCTTATTTTCTCGGCTCTGCTGGGACATTTCACCGAGACTTGAAAACAACTGAGGAAAATTAATGTACTCATCAAGTGCTGGCCCTTGTTAGGAAGAAGTTGATAGCAGGTGGCAGCACATGACATGTCTTAAGTTTTCGCATTTCTGTAGTTTCTGTGCCATTCTGCAAGTGGATTGGTAAACTTTGAAGTGATCTAGACCCTTAAGAAGCAATCAAGCTGAAATAGTTTTGTGTCCTTGCCTGGAAATAAGCAATACTACATGGTCAGGTTAGGAAGTTAATTCTGCTCAGGCTGTATTGCTTTGTGTAAAATAAGTGTTCTTTGGCCAATAAAACTACAGCATTTTGTAATAAGTATGCAAATCTCACGCTAAATTTAGCCTGGGGGGTGAGGCTGTTGTGATACAGCTACCTTAATTTTTTTTAAAGGTTTTTGTAGTCATGGGAAGCCCACAGAGAACCTTCAAAATTTTCTCAGGAATTTGTATTTTTTTGTAACCTTCGAAACATTTGTGTCTGGGATAATTTGCTTTCTTTGTTCAGCTAATCCCTAAAAGGCTATATTGAAGAACTTGTGATATACTAGATCTAGAAATGAAAGAATACATCTTCGTGGGCCTTTCAAAACTGAGACAATACTCAGTCGCTTCTGTAAACAGATCAATGCCATCCTGGTGAGGTGTGTTGATATGTGTTAAAGCATATTCATCAACTGCAAGGTTCCCTTGAGACCAGAAAATTATGGATGGTACAAAACCAAAAGTGCAGTTGCCCAGTTCGAAAGTAAGTTGCTCATCCCTAGGGTCACCCTACCTCGACGAACAAAGTCTGGTGACTTGTGCCTTTTTTAACTTTGTTCATTAAAGGGTGTACTTTTTAATTTATTTCAAACATGATATTTCCAGATAATTTGTTAGTTTCTTATGCATTTTGACCTCCCAATGCCTTATATGGGGTGGGTGTGGCTTGCCAGCAATGGAAATTCAGCCAGAACAATGTGGAAAAGGAAAGTGACAAAATAAGTTTCTAAATGGCGAACATCAATATTACTTAATTATGGCAATATTGCACATGGTTATCATGTCCCGTGTCGCCTTAGTTTGTCAGTGATTGCTGTTTTGCTGATGCTTACCCCCTTCCACTCTAGAAAGGTTTATTTTTGACACCTTGGGAAGGGAGGGCCTGTTTAAAGCCGTTCAATAGTTTTATGTTACCGTGTAAATCTGAAGAGCACAGACTGGTAATTTGACCTTTGAAACAATTCTGCTGCAGTCAGTCATGGAGAGAATTGTGGTTATTATTGGTAGTTTATTCCTCGCAGCTGATGTGTTTCTTGTTATACAACATTCAAATCTAGACTAACTCTTGATTTGCTCTGTAAGTACCGGTAAATGCTATAGGCATGCAGCGTCACAATGTTTGGGTATGTAAGGTTTGATGCCAGATTACCATTACGTTGCCTCGGAAGTTCTGAAAAGAGTCACCACTAGGCAAAGAGAGAAGCGAGGGCTTGTCTTTGTCCTTCCAAGACAGTTTACTGCAGAGTACAACATGTGCTGCTACAAAGCTGTAGTTTTCTAAGAGCAGACTGAATTGAATGACGGAACAACTCCCAGCATTACCAAGCTGTCCATTCCATCCAGAGGAAGCCCTTATAGTCATGTTACGGCCCCAAACCTTTCAGCATGTGTGTCTACAGAGCTGCTTTCCAAATTTTCTGGCATGTGGTCCTATCACCTCCAGGATGTGGCATGTGGTCTTATCACCTAGGATTCATTAGGATTTGCCACTAGGCAAAGGGAGAAGCAAGGGCTTGTCTTTGTCCTTTCAAGACACTTTACTGCAGAGTACAACATGTTGCCACAAAGCTGTAGTTTTCTCTGAGTAGTCTGAATTGAATGACTGAACAACTCCCAGCATTACCAAGCCCTCCATTTCATCAAAAGGAAGCCCTTATAGTCGTGTAACAGCCCCAAACCTTTCAGCATGTGTGTCTACAGAGCAACCTTCCAAATTATCTGGCAAGTGATCTTGTCACCTGTCATTGGAACTCCGTTCATAGTTTTGTCACAGATAACTCAATGCAGGTCTTGGTAACATGCAAAGGACATTCTCGTTTTGGTAGTCATTAAAGTGGACACGAGGCGTGCTATGCAAAAAGCTGGATTGCAAGTCATCTAGGAATTTTGATAGAAGGCTGCATCCTTCAATGTTAATGTTTTGAACTTCTCTCACTGTTCTTGGCCAGGCTGTTATTGGCACAATTGAAAGGTGGCACTAGGACCACTGACCATAGCATGTTGCAAAGTATCCCCACTCCTACAAGACCCTTCCCCGTGTGTGGACTCATGGCTTTTAAGTAATTTAGAGCTAAAGAGTGGTCCCTCAATGTTAGCTTTACTTATAACTTAAAAACAACTTCTGTGGTCCCATTTTTGACTAGTGACAGCATGGCTAGAAGGAGTTATAGGGGTAGGGAAATTATGCAAATGATGTTTTGTCAGTCGATCATCCGTTAAGTTCCAGCGTTAATTTATTCTGTTAATGGGTAATTAACCAGTGAAAGTGTTCTTAGGCGGATTTACAATGTGTCAATACCTCAAAATTGGTTGTTGACTTGCAGCTAACATGTCAAGATTAATCTTTGCAAAGGTTAACCAATTTGCAGAGGTTTTGTTAACTTTTACAGCAGGAGGGCAACTGGTTTTCACAGACGGGTAAAACTTTTTGAACGTATTTGTAATAAAACTTTTCTCTAGGTGATCAAGCCAGGCAGGCAAAATCGTCCTCACAGCCGGTCAATTTTCCCGGTGCCTGGCCCTTAATGAAGTCCCTGAATTTGAATTTGTGGTGGAAAGTTCAGCGCCACCTTTAATTTTTGAAAGAGGTCCTGAACACCTTCCCTGCATTTTGTAGGACTGTCAAAAGTTGCTCTTGCACAATTACTTGATAATGGAAGTTAATAATAGGAAAAAGGAGTCACTGCACTTGTTTAGAAATAGAATCATTATTGTGGATATTTCCAATGGGCCTTACTGTTGCTATAGTAACCTTTGCATTAAGAAAATGGCCATAACTTGTTTACCATGGAAAGGGTATGTCTTATTCTGCATTTGCTGCTATATAGAAATGTACTAAGCACTGTGTATACAACCCAGTCCATTTTTTTGTGTTTTGTTTTGTGTATTTTAATTGCTTTTAAAGCAGTCGACTCATTGTTAATGTTTTGGATTGCATTATTTTGTTCTTTCCGTGGATTTTTTTATGCTACTTGATAAATGCAAGTTTGTTTTAGTTATTTTTTTCCTTCTATGAGAGACTTGTGTGCTTCCTAATGTCCTGACTCTTCTTCATTATTTATTCATCTACCAAATTACTTCACTTTTATTAAAGTGGGGCATGTTTACAAAACCCAAATAAAAACAGAGTTTGGAAATGCCAAAATTGTCTTTTTTTGTAATTTCCAAGAGATAGTAAAGATGGTATGTTGCTTAGGGGCAGTTTAATGAAAACTGCTGACTGCAGGCTTAATTTACCACCAAAAAAGATTCTTGTTCCCTAAGGGTGGAGAGATGCATAATTGATTGCAAGGGTGAGACATAGTGTATCTGAGCATTCAATTGAAAGACATTGACTAGAATTTTTCCACTAAATTTATTGGCAATGTTTTTGTTTGTCATTTTTGCTTTGAAAGTAGAAACTTCTACTTTGCCTTGGAAGAAAAATGGTTACCAAGATTAGGATTGAGTAATATTTATCTTGCCAGAATTTGTTATGGAACTTCTAAAATTTCAAAAGTGGTAAATCCCACAGCTACTGACAGGTTAATAAGCAGCTGTCATTCAACACTGTCACACTGTGTTGCATGACAAGCCTAAAAATTGACTAAACAAGAGACCATTTCCCTTGACAATAATTGTACAGTTGTATGCCTCAAACATCCAAAAATGGCATTTTGTGTCCTGACTCCACACCACTTTACCCAGGCTCTATACAGTGGCGACCTTTGCATAACAGGTTCTAAATTGGCTGTAGTAGGGAGTTTCAGTTGAGTTCTTCTTTGCACATAAGATAGTTGAACAGTAATGTGGTGGTGTTCAGATTAGCACTTGCAATCTCTTGGCAAAACAAGGTTAGTAGAGTTGCACATGATGTGCAGCAGGATATGTGCACCAGGTGATCCTTGCTCAGCCTTTAGAACGGGTAAAATATTAAGGTGGTGAGATACTGAAAGTTGGTGATTTAGAGCAATATTTGTGTTGGCTACGTTCATTCTGTAGTCAGTAAATATGTGTAGAATCCCCTTCAAAATCTCTTTCGCTTTCTGCTTGGTAAAATTGGGGTTGAAGTCCAGTATTCCATTAAGGAAATGAGATGCTGGAAGAGCTGGGGCAGATAAAACATTTTAAGGAAAGGGGTTTGAGATACAGACCACCAAAGGCATTCCTTTGTAGAAGGTTCTGGGAGCCTCTTCCCCCAGAAAATTTTTAAAGTTATTGATGTCCTTGGAGATGGGATTTCCATCTTTCCGAGGGCACATCGGAGTGTTGTAATGCCCCTTATTTTGAATTTAGGGGGCTCAACGAAACACCCCTATATCCACCTTAGAAGCGGGTGGATACTATTTACTAATAGATTAAAAACATCATTCATTCTTCGCCCTTGGGTCTAGCAGTATAAACTACAGTCTTGGAGGATCACAAGTAATCTTATTAAGTGTGATGGTTAAAAAAAGTTTTGCCTGCATTAGTTGGGCGGACAATGTGTGATTTGATTGGATATCGTACATTTTTGGATATTATATAATATTATGTTTATTACATATAGCATCTTCATGCTCAAAACCATGAAACAATCCTTAACTTGAAGCCTATTAGATATAAACAAAATGGAATCCTCCATATGTTGGACAGAAACAGAAGAATAAAAGCACACCCTGAGAGATTCCAAGAAACTGAAGAAGAGTTTGATCTTGTTGTCACAGTTGAGGAGAGGGTATATGACCAGGTTATTGAGTGTAAGTATCCCTGTTATTTATTGTATTGTTTAATTAATCAAACAAAGCTGTCAACAGTTGCCAGAAATATGAAGAGTATGAGGAAAAAAACCAGAGTGTCTGTTGAAGGCTTAAATAATTGCCACAAATTACAGAAGATGATCTGTTTTATCAGTGCTATTTGTCTTGAGAATGCTGCAACCTTTTGAAAGATGTTTGTTTAAACAGGGATACCTGGGTCTCCTACCCTGTGGGATTTAGCAGGCCCGTTTGATGAAGTCCCTAGTGTATAGCCTCCCTCTGGGAGCCTACTTGGTTATATATCTGTCTGATATTAATGACTGTAGGTAATATTATTTAGTCCATGTTTTGAAGTTCCTGTGAGCTTGTAAAAGAGATGGTCTTTTGTTGCATGTGCATTGTAACCAAACACTTTCTTCAAAGGCTGTGCTCCAGACTTTAATTGTCACAACTGTAGTAGCATGAATGGACATTAATTTTCGTTTTTTCAATCAGACCTGGAGTCAAGAGGTTCCCAAAGCTACTCACCAGTGCATGTGATAAACTTGGATATTCAGGATAACCATGAAGAAGCAACAGTAGGGGCCTTTCATATATGTGAAATGTGTCAAGCTGTAAGTACAAATTCTAATACAGTTGAACATGCTATACATGTATACTGTTGGTTGGGTTATCAGGCATTAAGTTTATGTATTAAATGTATATATAGATACAGGTGACATAATAAATTCTACCAAAAAAATGTACCAGTCACTATCTTTTTCAATATGGTGGATCTAAACCTTGTCGTTGTCATCATCATCATCATCACCTTTTCCCTACACGGGAAATAGGGCTTTGCATTCTCGCTCACCAAACTTCTTGGTTCTTAGCACATGTACAAGCATCCAGCCAGCCTTTGAATCCGAACTCCCCCTTTTTCCTCTCCACAATTCTCTAAGTTTCCCTAGGCCTTCCTCTCTGTCTTCCTTCTTTGCAAACACTGGAGAACTAATTTATTTGTTTGGGCAGTTAACAACCATGGTGGTAAAATCATTATACAGTTTGAAGTAGGTTTGAGTGGACTGGGAGTAAAAGTGAATGCAAAAGTCAACTTTCAAAACATAACGCTGGCGTGTTTACACTATAAATGCTTACACTATGGAGCCACTTGAATATGTTAAAGGTAGAAAAATCTAGGCGCATACAACTTGTCAGGACCATGAAACGCTAATTATTGTTAGATTTGAAAGTAGAACAAAATACTTCTTGCAAAGAAACCATTTTCTTACAATGTTCATCCATATTAATCTGTCTGCTTTCTTTTAGATTGAAGGCCTAGACGACTTAGAAAATGAAATTGATGAAGTTCTTCACAAACTGGAAAAAAAATGGACAAGAACTCTACTTCATACAGTAGCTTTCTACTAAATATTGAATATTTGTACAAATAGATATATTTTATTTCACCTTAAGTGTAAATAGATATTTGTGATTTTGTGATATTCTGGTTATTCCAAGGTACCCTAAGTTGAAAATGCAATATAGGTCAGTCTATGCNGGGGTGAGGCTGTTGTGATACAGCTACCTTAATTTTTTTTAAAGGTTTTTGTAGTCATGGGAAGCCCACAGAGAACCTTCAAAATTTTCTCAGGAATTTGTATTTTTTTGTAACCTTCGAAACATTTGTGTCTGGGATAATTTGCTTTCTTTGTTCAGCTAATCCCTAAAAGGCTATATTGAAGAACTTGTGATATACTAGATCTAGAAATGAAAGAATACATCTTCGTGGGCCTTTCAAAACTGAGACAATACTCAGTCGCTTCTGTAAACAGATCAATGCCATCCTGGTGAGGTGTGTTGATATGTGTTAAAGCATATTCATCAACTGCAAGGTTCCCTTGAGACCAGAAAATTATGGATGGTACAAAACCAAAAGTGCAGTTGCCCAGTTCGAAAGTAAGTTGCTCATCCCTAGGGTCACCCTACCTCGACGAACAAAGTCTGGTGACTTGTGCCTTTTTTAACTTGGTTCATTAAAGGGTGTACTTTTTAATTTATTTCAAACATGATATTTCCAGATAATTTGTTAGTTTCTTATGCATTTTGACCTCCCAATGCCTTATATGGGGTGGGTGTGGCTTGCCAGCAATGGAAATTCAGCCAGAACAATGTGGAAAAGGAAAGTGACAAAATAAGTTTCTAAATGGCGAACATCAATATTACTTAATTATGGCAATATTGCACATGGTTATCATGTCCCGTGTCGCCTTAGTTTGTCAGTGATTGCTGTTTTGCTGATGCTTACCCCCTTCCACTCTAGAAAGGTTTATTTTTGACACCTTGGGAAGGGAGGGCCTGTTTAAAGCCGTTCAATAGTTTTATGTTACCGTGTAAATCTGAAGAGCACAGACTGGTAATTTGACCTTTGAAACAATTCTGCTGCAGTCAGTCATGGAGAGAATTGTGGTTATTATTGGTAGTTTATTCCTCGCAGCTGATGTGTTTCTTGTTATACAACATTCAAATCTAGACTAACTCTTGATTTGCTCTGTAAGTACCGGTAAATGCTATAGGCATGCAGCGTCACAATGTTTGGGTATGTAAGGTTTGATGCCAGATTACCATTACGTTGCCTCGGAAGTTCTGAAAAGAGTCACCACTAGGCAAAGAGAGAAGCGAGGGCTTGTCTTTGTCCTTCCAAGACAGTTTACTGCAGAGTACAACATGTGCTGCTACAAAGCTGTAGTTTTCTAAGAGCAGACTGAATTGAATGACGGAACAACTCCCAGCATTACCAAGCTGTCCATTCCATCCAGAGGAAGCCCTTATAGTCATGTTACGGCCCCAAACCTTTCAGCATGTGTGTCTACAGAGCTGCTTTCCAAATTTTCTGGCATGTGGTCCTATCACCTCCAGGATGTGGCATGTGGTCTTATCACCTAGGATTCATTAGGATTTGCCACTAGGCAAAGGGAGAAGCAAGGGCTTGTCTTTGTCCTTTCAAGACACTTTACTGCAGAGTACAACATGTTGCCACAAAGCTGTAGTTTTCTCTGAGTAGTCTGAATTGAATGACTGAACAACTCCCAGCATTACCAAGCCCTCCATTTCATCAAAAGGAAGCCCTTATAGTCGTGTAACAGCCCCAAACCTTTCAGCATGTGTGTCTACAGAGCAACCTTCCAAATTATCTGGCAAGTGATCTTGTCACCTGTCATTGGAACTCCGTTCATAGTTTTGTCACAGATAACTCAATGCAGGTCTTGGTAACATGCAAAGGACATTCTCGTTTTGGTAGTCATTAAAGTGGACACGAGGCGTGCTATGCAAAAAGCTGGATTGCAAGTCATCTAGGAATTTTGATAGAAGGCTGCATCCTTCAATGTTAATGTTTTGAACTTCTCTCACTGTTCTTGGCCAGGCTGTTATTGGCACAATTGAAAGGTGGCACTAGGACCACTGACCATAGCATGTTGCAAAGTATCCCCACTCCTACAAGACCCTTCCCCGTGTGTGGACTCATGGCTTTTAAGTAATTTAGAGCTAAAGAGTGGTCCCTCAATGTTAGCTTTACTTATAACTTAAAAACAACTTCTGTGGTCCCATTTTTGACTAGTGACAGCATGGCTAGAAGGAGTTATAGGGGTAGGGAAATTATGCAAATGATGTTTTGTCAGTCGATCATCCGTTAAGTTCCAGCGTTAATTTATTCTGTTAATGGGTAATTAACCAGTGAAAGTGTTCTTAGGCGGATTTACAATGTGTCAATACCTCAAAATTGGTTGTTGACTTGCAGCTAACATGTCAAGATTAATCTTTGCAAAGGTTAACCAATTTGCAGAGGTTTTGTTAACTTTTACAGCAGGAGGGCAACTGGTTTTCACAGACGGGTAAAACTTTTTGAACGTATTTGTAATAAAACTTTTCTCTAGGTGATCAAGCCAGGCAGGCAAAATCGTCCTCACAGCCGGTCAATTTTCCCGGTGCCTGGCCCTTAATGAAGTCCCTGAATTTGAATTTGTGGTGGAAAGTTCAGCGCCACCTTTAATTTTTGAAAGAGGTCCTGAACACCTTCCCTGCATTTTGTAGGACTGTCAAAAGTTGCTCTTGCACAATTACTTGATAATGGAAGTTAATAATAGGAAAAAGGAGTCACTGCACTTGTTTAGAAATAGAATCATTATTGTGGATATTTCCAATGGGCCTTACTGTTGCTATAGTAACCTTTGCATTAAGAAAATGGCCATAACTTGTTTACCATGGAAAGGGTATGTCTTATTCTGCATTTGCTGCTATATAGAAATGTACTAAGCACTGTGTATACAACCCAGTCCATTTTTTTGTGTTTTGTTTTGTGTATTTTAATTGCTTTTAAAGCAGTCGACTCATTGTTAATGTTTTGGATTGCATTATTTTGTTCTTTCCGTGGATTTTTTTATGCTACTTGATAAATGCAAGTTTGTTTTAGTTATTTTTTTCCTTCTATGAGAGACTTGTGTGCTTCCTAATGTCCTGACTCTTCTTCATTATTTATTCATCTACCAAATTACTTCACTTTTATTAAAGTGGGGCATGTTTACAAAACCCAAATAAAAACAGAGTTTGGAAATGCCAAAATTGTCTTTTTTTGTAATTTCCAAGAGATAGTAAAGATGGTATGTTGCTTAGGGGCAGTTTAATGAAAACTGCTGACTGCAGGCTTAATTTACCACCAAAAAAGATTCTTGTTCCCTAAGGGTGGAGAGATGCATAATTGATTGCAAGGGTGAGACATAGTGTATCTGAGCATTTAATTGAAAGACATTGACTAGAATTTTTCCACTAAATTTATTGGCAATGTTTTTGTCATTTTTGCTTTGAAAGTAGAAATTTCTACTTTGCCTTGGAAGAAAAATGGTTACCAAGATTAGGATTGAGTAATATTTATCTTGGCAGAATTTGTTATGGAACTTCTAAAATTTCAAAAGTGGTAAATCCCACTGCTACTGACAGGTTAATAAGCAGCTGTCATTCAACACTGTCACACTGTGTTGCATGACAAGCCTAAAAATTGACTAAACAAGAGACCATTTCCCTTGACAATAATTGTACAGTTGTATGCCTCAAACATCCAAAAATGGCATTTTGTGTCCTGACTCCACACCACTTTACCCAGGCTCTATACAGTGGCGACCTTTGCATAACAGGTTCTAAATTGGCTGTAGTAGGGAGTTTCAGTTGAGTTCTTCTTTGCACATAAGATAGTTGAACAGTAATGTGGTGGTGTTCAGATTAGCACTTGCAATCTCTTGGCAAAACAAGGTTAGTAGAGTTGCACATGATGTGCAGCAGGATATGTGCACCAGGTGATCCTTGCTCAGCCTTTAGAACGGGTAAAATATTAAGGTGGTGAGATACTGAAAGTTGGTGATTTAGAGCAATATTTGTGTTGGCTACGTTCATTCTGTAGTCAGTAAATATGTGTAGAATCCCCTTCAAAATCTCTTTCGCTTTCTGCTTGGTAAAATTGGGGTTGAAGTCCAGTATTCCATTAAGGAAATGAGATGCTGGAAGAGCTGGGGCAGATAAAACATTTTAAGGAAAGGGGTTTGAGATACAGACCACCAAAGGCATTCCTTTGTAGAAGGTTCTGGGAGCCTCTTCCCCCAGAAAATTTTTAAAGTTATTGATGTCCTTGGAGATGGGATTTCCATCTTTCCGAGGGCACATCGGAGTGTTGTAATGCCCCTTATTTTGAATTTAGGGGGCTCAACGAAACACCCCTATATCCACCTTAGAAGCGGGTGGATACTATTTACTAATAGATTAAAAACATCATTCATTCTTCGCCCTTGGGTCTAGCAGTATAAACTACAGTCTTGGAGGATCACAAGTAATCTTATTAAGTGTGATGGTTAAAAAAAGTTTTGCCTGCATTAGTTGGGCGGACAATGTGTGATTTGATTGGATATCGTACATTTTTGGATATTATATAATATTATGTTTATTACATATAGCATCTTCATGCTCAAAACCATGAAACAATCCTTAACTTGAAGCCTATTAGATATAAACAAAATGGAATCCTCCATATGTTGGACAGAAACAGAAGAATAAAAGCACACCCTGAGAGATTCCAAGAAACTGAAGAAGAGTTTGATCTTGTTGTCACAGTTGAGGAGAGGGTATATGACCAGGTTATTGAGTGTAAGTATCCCTGTTATTTATTGTATTGTTTAATTAATCAAACAAAGCTGTCAACAGTTGCCAGAAATATGAAGAGTATGAGGAAAAAAACCAGAATGTCTGTTGAAGGCTTAAATAATTGCCACAAATTACAGAAGATGATCTGTTTTATCAGTGCTATTTGTCTTGAGAATGCTGCAACCTTTTGAAAGATGTTTGTTTAAACAGGGATACCTGGGTCTCCTACCCTGTGGGATTTAGCAGGCCCGTTTGATGAAGTCCCTAGTGTATAGCCTCCCTCTGGGAGCCTACTTGGTTATATATCTGTCTGATATTAATGACTGTAGGTAATATTATTTAGTCCATGTTTTGAAGTTCCTGTGAGCTTGTAAAAGAGATGGTCTTTTGTTGCATGTGCATTGTAACCAAACACTTTCTTCAAAGGCTGTGCTCCAGACTTTAATTGTCACAACTGTAGTAGCATGAATGGACATTAATTTTCGTTTTTTCAATCAGACCTGGAGTCAAGAGGTTCCCAAAGCTACTCACCAGTGCATGTGATAAACTTGGATATTCAGGATAACCATGAAGAAGCAACAGTAGGGGCCTTTCATATATGTGAAATGTGTCAAGCTGTAAGTACAAATTCTAATACAGTTGAACATGCTATACATGTATACTGTTGGTTGGGTTATCAGGCATTAAGTTTATGTATTAAATGTATATATAGATACAGGTGACATAATAAATTCTACCAAAAAAATGTACCAGTCACTATCTTTTTCAATATGGTGGATCTAAACCTTGTCGTTGTCATCATCATCATCATCACCTTTTCCCTACACGGGAAATAGGGCTTTGCATTCTCGCTCACCAAACTTCTTGGTTCTTAGCACATGTACAAGCATCCAGCCAGCCTTTGAATCCGAACTCCCCCTTTTTCCTCTCCACAATTCTCTAAGTTTCCCTAGGCCTTCCTCTCTGTCTTCCTTCTTTGCAAACACTGGAGAACTAATTTATTTGTTTGGGCAGTTAACAACCATGGTGGTAAAATCATTATACAGTTTGAAGTAGGTTTGAGTGGACTGGGAGTAAAAGTGAATGCAAAAGTCAACTTTCAAAACATAACGCTGGCGTGTTTACACTATAAATGCTTACACTATGGAGCCACTTGAATATGTTAAAGGTAGAAAAATCTAGGCGCATACAACTTGTCAGGACCATGAAACGCTAATTATTGTTAGATTTGAAAGTAGAACAAAATACTTCTTGCAAAGAAACCATTTTCTTACAATGTTCATCCATATTAATCTGTCTGCTTTCTTTTAGATTGAAGGCCTAGACGACTTAGAAAATGAAATTGATGAAGTTCTTCACAAACTGGAAAAAAAATGGACAAGAACTCTACTTCATACAGTAGCTTTCTACTAAATATTGAATATTTGTACAAATAGATATATTTTATTTCACCTTAAGTGTAAATAGATATTTGTGATTTTGTGATATTCTGGTTATTCCAAGGTACCCTAAGTTGAAAATGCAATATAGGTCAGTCTATGCACTTAGCTGTTAAAACCCTAGGAATTGGCAGGGACAAATTAAAACAGCTTGAAAGTAGTTGGGAGACAAGTGGGTAATTTTGTAGGAAATGGTTGGGAGAAAAATGGGGGCAGAAAGAGCTTGAAGGAACGGAATACTGTAGGTAACATGAAGATGTGTAACATGGGTGTTAACACATAACTTGCAAGAGAATTAGATGCTTATGCAAGTAAATCAGTGGAGTAATAACCTGATCCTCCCAAGACTTTCCCATAATGATCCCTAATATCTTAACAATCAATTAGAGGGAACTTTTGAACCAATTAGAATTACAGTATTGTTTAGAGACTTTGTGACACCACTCAAATCAACACAAGTTAGAATAATTTAAATTATATTATTTAAATGCTGTATGTAATTAATATAAACCTGTATGGCCCAACTTTAGGAACAGTTTAATCTGTTCATTATATTGTTTCTCTAAATTGGCTTGAATATTTTTTATGCTTTTTGTATGTACAAAAATATTACAAATCCACCCAGATTGTCAGATGAAACACAAACAAGAAGTTTATATCAATCACTCCTAAACTTTGGAAACCCAATATCTTGAACTTCAAGGGGAAACAGAAGAGAGAGCTCGAGTTATTTGGGTCAAATTAACATTACAGTGAAACATCCAAGGAAAACAACCTTTGGTTTGCTTCGTTGGGAGGTCTCGAAAAAATTCAGGGCTCTAGAAATTGGGATTTCCACCAAAATTTTCAATAATAATAGTAACCCTACCTCAATAAGGATTTTCTCTGTCCACTGGTTAGATACTTAACTGTATTTTTGTCTGAAGTAGTCTAGCTGATATAATGTCTGTATGAACTTTTAACTTTCAACTCCAGGACGGTTACAATATGGAGTCTGTGGAGCAGGCAGAGAAAGCAACAAGGATGTAGTAATAACTGCAACTAATGTTAACAGTAGTATTTAGTATGTAAGTTGCAGTGTGTCTGCATTTATAAAATACTTTAGGGTGTTTGTCAATAATATACTTGGCCCAATATTTTGGCAGGGGTGCGTCATGTGTCAAAGGGACTTTCTTAAATATATGGCATTTTTTTTCCTTCTTGAAGGTGTGTAGTTATTTTACATGTTTGCCAGAGACAGTGTTGATGGGAGTTACAACTAACATCCATGCAACCCTTTAAAATATTTCNGGGGTGAGGCTGTTGTGATACAGCTACCTTAATTTTTTTTAAAGGTTTTTGTAGTCATGGGAAGCCCACAGAGAACCTTCAAAATTTTCTCAGGAATTTGTATTTTTTTGTAACCTTCGAAACATTTGTGTCTGGGATAATTTGCTTTCTTTGTTCAGCTAATCCCTAAAAGGCTATATTGAAGAACTTGTGATATACTAGATCTAGAAATGAAAGAATACATCTTCGTGGGCCTTTCAAAACTGAGACAATACTCAGTCGCTTCTGTAAACAGATCAATGCCATCCTGGTGAGGTGTGTTGATATGTGTTAAAGCATATTCATCAACTGCAAGGTTCCCTTGAGACCAGAAAATTATGGATGGTACAAAACCAAAAGTGCAGTTGCCCAGTTCGAAAGTAAGTTGCTCATCCCTAGGGTCACCCTACCTCGACGAACAAAGTCTGGTGACTTGTGCCTTTTTTAACTTGGTTCATTAAAGGGTGTACTTTTTAATTTATTTCAAACATGATATTTCCAGATAATTTGTTAGTTTCTTATGCATTTTGACCTCCCAATGCCTTATATGGGGTGGGTGTGGCTTGCCAGCAATGGAAATTCAGCCAGAACAATGTGGAAAAGGAAAGTGACAAAATAAGTTTCTAAATGGCGAACATCAATATTACTTAATTATGGCAATATTGCACATGGTTATCATGTCCCGTGTCGCCTTAGTTTGTCAGTGATTGCTGTTTTGCTGATGCTTACCCCCTTCCACTCTAGAAAGGTTTATTTTTGACACCTTGGGAAGGGAGGGCCTGTTTAAAGCCGTTCAATAGTTTTATGTTACCGTGTAAATCTGAAGAGCACAGACTGGTAATTTGACCTTTGAAACAATTCTGCTGCAGTCAGTCATGGAGAGAATTGTGGTTATTATTGGTAGTTTATTCCTCGCAGCTGATGTGTTTCTTGTTATACAACATTCAAATCTAGACTAACTCTTGATTTGCTCTGTAAGTACCGGTAAATGCTATAGGCATGCAGCGTCACAATGTTTGGGTATGTAAGGTTTGATGCCAGATTACCATTACGTTGCCTCGGAAGTTCTGAAAAGAGTCACCACTAGGCAAAGAGAGAAGCGAGGGCTTGTCTTTGTCCTTCCAAGACAGTTTACTGCAGAGTACAACATGTGCTGCTACAAAGCTGTAGTTTTCTAAGAGCAGACTGAATTGAATGACGGAACAACTCCCAGCATTACCAAGCTGTCCATTCCATCCAGAGGAAGCCCTTATAGTCATGTTACGGCCCCAAACCTTTCAGCATGTGTGTCTACAGAGCTGCTTTCCAAATTTTCTGGCATGTGGTCCTATCACCTCCAGGATGTGGCATGTGGTCTTATCACCTAGGATTCATTAGGATTTGCCACTAGGCAAAGGGAGAAGCAAGGGCTTGTCTTTGTCCTTTCAAGACACTTTACTGCAGAGTACAACATGTTGCCACAAAGCTGTAGTTTTCTCTGAGTAGTCTGAATTGAATGACTGAACAACTCCCAGCATTACCAAGCCCTCCATTTCATCAAAAGGAAGCCCTTATAGTCGTGTAACAGCCCCAAACCTTTCAGCATGTGTGTCTACAGAGCAACCTTCCAAATTATCTGGCAAGTGATCTTGTCACCTGTCATTGGAACTCCGTTCATAGTTTTGTCACAGATAACTCAATGCAGGTCTTGGTAACATGCAAAGGACATTCTCGTTTTGGTAGTCATTAAAGTGGACACGAGGCGTGCTATGCAAAAAGCTGGATTGCAAGTCATCTAGGAATTTTGATAGAAGGCTGCATCCTTCAATGTTAATGTTTTGAACTTCTCTCACTGTTCTTGGCCAGGCTGTTATTGGCACAATTGAAAGGTGGCACTAGGACCACTGACCATAGCATGTTGCAAAGTATCCCCACTCCTACAAGACCCTTCCCCGTGTGTGGACTCATGGCTTTTAAGTAATTTAGAGCTAAAGAGTGGTCCCTCAATGTTAGCTTTACTTATAACTTAAAAACAACTTCTGTGGTCCCATTTTTGACTAGTGACAGCATGGCTAGAAGGAGTTATAGGGGTAGGGAAATTATGCAAATGATGTTTTGTCAGTCGATCATCCGTTAAGTTCCAGCGTTAATTTATTCTGTTAATGGGTAATTAACCAGTGAAAGTGTTCTTAGGCGGATTTACAATGTGTCAATACCTCAAAATTGGTTGTTGACTTGCAGCTAACATGTCAAGATTAATCTTTGCAAAGGTTAACCAATTTGCAGAGGTTTTGTTAACTTTTACAGCAGGAGGGCAACTGGTTTTCACAGACGGGTAAAACTTTTTGAACGTATTTGTAATAAAACTTTTCTCTAGGTGATCAAGCCAGGCAGGCAAAATCGTCCTCACAGCCGGTCAATTTTCCCGGTGCCTGGCCCTTAATGAAGTCCCTGAATTTGAATTTGTGGTGGAAAGTTCAGCGCCACCTTTAATTTTTGAAAGAGGTCCTGAACACCTTCCCTGCATTTTGTAGGACTGTCAAAAGTTGCTCTTGCACAATTACTTGATAATGGAAGTTAATAATAGGAAAAAGGAGTCACTGCACTTGTTTAGAAATAGAATCATTATTGTGGATATTTCCAATGGGCCTTACTGTTGCTATAGTAACCTTTGCATTAAGAAAATGGCCATAACTTGTTTACCATGGAAAGGGTATGTCTTATTCTGCATTTGCTGCTATATAGAAATGTACTAAGCACTGTGTATACAACCCAGTCCATTTTTTTGTGTTTTGTTTTGTGTATTTTAATTGCTTTTAAAGCAGTCGACTCATTGTTAATGTTTTGGATTGCATTATTTTGTTCTTTCCGTGGATTTTTTTATGCTACTTGATAAATGCAAGTTTGTTTTAGTTATTTTTTTCCTTCTATGAGAGACTTGTGTGCTTCCTAATGTCCTGACTCTTCTTCATTATTTATTCATCTACCAAATTACTTCACTTTTATTAAAGTGGGGCATGTTTACAAAACCCAAATAAAAACAGAGTTTGGAAATGCCAAAATTGTCTTTTTTTGTAATTTCCAAGAGATAGTAAAGATGGTATGTTGCTTAGGGGCAGTTTAATGAAAACTGCTGACTGCAGGCTTAATTTACCACCAAAAAAGATTCTTGTTCCCTAAGGGTGGAGAGATGCATAATTGATTGCAAGGGTGAGACATAGTGTATCTGAGCATTTAATTGAAAGACATTGACTAGAATTTTTCCACTAAATTTATTGGCAATGTTTTTGTCATTTTTGCTTTGAAAGTAGAAATTTCTACTTTGCCTTGGAAGAAAAATGGTTACCAAGATTAGGATTGAGTAATATTTATCTTGGCAGAATTTGTTATGGAACTTCTAAAATTTCAAAAGTGGTAAATCCCACTGCTACTGACAGGTTAATAAGCAGCTGTCATTCAACACTGTCACACTGTGTTGCATGACAAGCCTAAAAATTGACTAAACAAGAGACCATTTCCCTTGACAATAATTGTACAGTTGTATGCCTCAAACATCCAAAAATGGCATTTTGTGTCCTGACTCCACACCACTTTACCCAGGCTCTATACAGTGGCGACCTTTGCATAACAGGTTCTAAATTGGCTGTAGTAGGGAGTTTCAGTTGAGTTCTTCTTTGCACATAAGATAGTTGAACAGTAATGTGGTGGTGTTCAGATTAGCACTTGCAATCTCTTGGCAAAACAAGGTTAGTAGAGTTGCACATGATGTGCAGCAGGATATGTGCACCAGGTGATCCTTGCTCAGCCTTTAGAACGGGTAAAATATTAAGGTGGTGAGATACTGAAAGTTGGTGATTTAGAGCAATATTTGTGTTGGCTACGTTCATTCTGTAGTCAGTAAATATGTGTAGAATCCCCTTCAAAATCTCTTTCGCTTTCTGCTTGGTAAAATTGGGGTTGAAGTCCAGTATTCCATTAAGGAAATGAGATGCTGGAAGAGCTGGGGCAGATAAAACATTTTAAGGAAAGGGGTTTGAGATACAGACCACCAAAGGCATTCCTTTGTAGAAGGTTCTGGGAGCCTCTTCCCCCAGAAAATTTTTAAAGTTATTGATGTCCTTGGAGATGGGATTTCCATCTTTCCGAGGGCACATCGGAGTGTTGTAATGCCCCTTATTTTGAATTTAGGGGGCTCAACGAAACACCCCTATATCCACCTTAGAAGCGGGTGGATACTATTTACTAATAGATTAAAAACATCATTCATTCTTCGCCCTTGGGTCTAGCAGTATAAACTACAGTCTTGGAGGATCACAAGTAATCTTATTAAGTGTGATGGTTAAAAAAAGTTTTGCCTGCATTAGTTGGGCGGACAATGTGTGATTTGATTGGATATCGTACATTTTTGGATATTATATAATATTATGTTTATTACATATAGCATCTTCATGCTCAAAACCATGAAACAATCCTTAACTTGAAGCCTATTAGATATAAACAAAATGGAATCCTCCATATGTTGGACAGAAACAGAAGAATAAAAGCACACCCTGAGAGATTCCAAGAAACTGAAGAAGAGTTTGATCTTGTTGTCACAGTTGAGGAGAGGGTATATGACCAGGTTATTGAGTGTAAGTATCCCTGTTATTTATTGTATTGTTTAATTAATCAAACAAAGCTGTCAACAGTTGCCAGAAATATGAAGAGTATGAGGAAAAAAACCAGAATGTCTGTTGAAGGCTTAAATAATTGCCACAAATTACAGAAGATGATCTGTTTTATCAGTGCTATTTGTCTTGAGAATGCTGCAACCTTTTGAAAGATGTTTGTTTAAACAGGGATACCTGGGTCTCCTACCCTGTGGGATTTAGCAGGCCCGTTTGATGAAGTCCCTAGTGTATAGCCTCCCTCTGGGAGCCTACTTGGTTATATATCTGTCTGATATTAATGACTGTAGGTAATATTATTTAGTCCATGTTTTGAAGTTCCTGTGAGCTTGTAAAAGAGATGGTCTTTTGTTGCATGTGCATTGTAACCAAACACTTTCTTCAAAGGCTGTGCTCCAGACTTTAATTGTCACAACTGTAGTAGCATGAATGGACATTAATTTTCGTTTTTTCAATCAGACCTGGAGTCAAGAGGTTCCCAAAGCTACTCACCAGTGCATGTGATAAACTTGGATATTCAGGATAACCATGAAGAAGCAACAGTAGGGGCCTTTCATATATGTGAAATGTGTCAAGCTGTAAGTACAAATTCTAATACAGTTGAACATGCTATACATGTATACTGTTGGTTGGGTTATCAGGCATTAAGTTTATGTATTAAATGTATATATAGATACAGGTGACATAATAAATTCTACCAAAAAAATGTACCAGTCACTATCTTTTTCAATATGGTGGATCTAAACCTTGTCGTTGTCATCATCATCATCATCACCTTTTCCCTACACGGGAAATAGGGCTTTGCATTCTCGCTCACCAAACTTCTTGGTTCTTAGCACATGTACAAGCATCCAGCCAGCCTTTGAATCCGAACTCCCCCTTTTTCCTCTCCACAATTCTCTAAGTTTCCCTAGGCCTTCCTCTCTGTCTTCCTTCTTTGCAAACACTGGAGAACTAATTTATTTGTTTGGGCAGTTAACAACCATGGTGGTAAAATCATTATACAGTTTGAAGTAGGTTTGAGTGGACTGGGAGTAAAAGTGAATGCAAAAGTCAACTTTCAAAACATAACGCTGGCGTGTTTACACTATAAATGCTTACACTATGGAGCCACTTGAATATGTTAAAGGTAGAAAAATCTAGGCGCATACAACTTGTCAGGACCATGAAACGCTAATTATTGTTAGATTTGAAAGTAGAACAAAATACTTCTTGCAAAGAAACCATTTTCTTACAATGTTCATCCATATTAATCTGTCTGCTTTCTTTTAGATTGAAGGCCTAGACGACTTAGAAAATGAAATTGATGAAGTTCTTCACAAACTGGAAAAAAAATGGACAAGAACTCTACTTCATACAGTAGCTTTCTACTAAATATTGAATATTTGTACAAATAGATATATTTTATTTCACCTTAAGTGTAAATAGATATTTGTGATTTTGTGATATTCTGGTTATTCCAAGGTACCCTAAGTTGAAAATGCAATATAGGTCAGTCTATGCACTTAGCTGTTAAAACCCTAGGAATTGGCAGGGACAAATTAAAACAGCTTGAAAGTAGTTGGGAGACAAGTGGGTAATTTTGTAGGAAATGGTTGGGAGAAAAATGGGGGCAGAAAGAGCTTGAAGGAACGGAATACTGTAGGTAACATGAAGATGTGTAACATGGGTGTTAACACATAACTTGCAAGAGAATTAGATGCTTATGCAAGTAAATCAGTGGAGTAATAACCTGATCCTCCCAAGACTTTCCCATAATGATCCCTAATATCTTAACAATCAATTAGAGGGAACTTTTGAACCAATTAGAATTACAGTATTGTTTAGAGACTTTGTGACACCACTCAAATCAACACAAGTTAGAATAATTTAAATTATATTATTTAAATGCTGTATGTAATTAATATAAACCTGTATGGCCCAACTTTAGGAACAGTTTAATCTGTTCATTATATTGTTTCTCTAAATTGGCTTGAATATTTTTTATGCTTTTTGTATGTACAAAAATATTACAAATCCACCCAGATTGTCAGATGAAACACAAACAAGAAGTTTATATCAATCACTCCTAAACTTTGGAAACCCAATATCTTGAACTTCAAGGGGAAACAGAAGAGAGAGCTCGAGTTATTTGGGTCAAATTAACATTACAGTGAAACATCCAAGGAAAACAACCTTTGGTTTGCTTCGTTGGGAGGTCTCGAAAAAATTCAGGGCTCTAGAAATTGGGATTTCCACCAAAATTTTCAATAATAATAGTAACCCTACCTCAATAAGGATTTTCTCTGTCCACTGGTTAGATACTTAACTGTATTTTTGTCTGAAGTAGTCTAGCTGATATAATGTCTGTATGAACTTTTAACTTTCAACTCCAGGACGGTTACAATATGGAGTCTGTGGAGCAGGCAGAGAAAGCAACAAGGATGTAGTAATAACTGCAACTAATGTTAACAGTAGTATTTAGTATGTCAGTTGCAGTGTGTCTGCATTTATAAAATACTTTAGGGTGTTTGTCAATAATATACTTGGCCCAATATTTTGGCAGGGGTGCGTCATGTGTCAAAGGGACTTTCTTAAATATATGGCATTTTTTTTCCTTCTTGAAGGTGTGTAGTTATTTTACATGTTTGCCAGAGACAGTGTTGATGGGAGTTACAACTAACATCCATGCAACCCTTTAAAATATTTCTGGGATCTTGGGCTTTGTTTCTTGCAATTTTTTTGCCACTGAAAGTGGTCTTAGTATTTTGTTGTACATGTGGCAAAAACGCTCTTGATACCCACTGCTAGATGTGGAGTCAAAAATGTGTGAATGACTTAGTCAAAAGTGAAAATGTGTAAAGTTAATGTGTGTTAGCTCGTTCTTGTAAAGCTTTTTTTGATCTGCTTTTTATTGATTGAATCCTTAAAAGGAAAATAAAAAGTATTTTGTGTACAAAATCGTTGCTGAGATTTATTTTAGCTGGGAATGCAGGTCATACAGCCACCTGCCATCTCTCCCTAAGTCTCATTTCAGGGCTGTGACCAGAAAAAAAGTTGTGACTGGGGCAATGTACTGTTAATGTTATTTGTTTGTTTGTTTGTTTGTTTATTTATTTGCTAGCAGTGTTTTACTTTCCCCTTTCAAAAAAAAAAAGCAACAACAACAACAAAAACGAAAAAAATGATTGAGGCAGGTGACTTGGTTGGCCAGTTTTTACTGGCTACTGCACTGTATTTTATAGTGCAGCGTTAAGTGTTTTGTATGTGCCCGCCGGGTGAAATTAGCGGGACCTGAAAACAAGTTTCTGGTTTTCCTGCGATTTCAGCCGACTTGGCAGTTCGCACTACACCTGAAAAAATAGGACCCTGCTCGCGGGTTAAAATAAGGCGAACGACAAAATGTTTTTCAGTTTTAATAAAGCACTCGTGATGGATTGAGCTTCAACTTGCAATGTAAGCGTAGGGTGCGTACCATTCGACCAAAAATTCCGGTTTGAATTTCCGAAATTCTCGATATATTAAAATGTTAATTCTGCCTAAAATTGTAAGTTTTCTGAGATTCTTTTGTCTTATAATTCCCGTAAGGAGACCAATCATAAAATAATTGAGATACTACGCGCGCTCTCATTGGTAGATAGATGCGTTTAGATGAGTGTGTGTAAACACGGATGTGACGTTTTAGATTCGCGCGCATTTTTGCGCGAAAATTTGCTTCCTATTAAAGTCGGCGAAATTCTTACGAGATACAGAAACCCTCAACTTGTCGTGCAACACGAGCAAATTTATTGGGTAACAAATTGTGAGTATGATGAAAAACGAGCAACAAAGCCAAAATTTGTTGCTCAAAGTAGACCCGCGCTCTACTTTTCGCAACAATTTTCTTCAACCCGTTACAAGTGTTTTAGTTGCGCGACAAGTTGATCACGCAAGGTGAAAAACGCGAAACATCGANGGGGGGGGGGATCTAATATTAAATAGGGCAGGGTTTTCGGGGTTAAAAAAAGCGGTTTTGTTACCTCTTTGAGTGTTCAGCCTCGAAAGGTCCACAGCAGGAGCTTTTGCGGTACTTTTTAGGGTATTGAGCAGAAAAAATATGACAGGAGATAATGTGTTATGTAAGAATTGGTACCTCTTATACTTAGGGGAGAAAAAAATTTCAAGGCACGCCCACAAAACAGGATCTTGGTACCTCTTAGGGATTCTTTTCAAAATTTCCGACGAGCACCCCCCGTCCTTTCATATTGGAGTCCCCACCAACACCCCCTACCCGGGCCTCAGATGTCACCTCAGAAGTCAATCGCTCTAGATTCGTTTCCAGACCTCCTCCAAAACGTACAACGCCTAACGGATTTCGGTTTTACTTCTGCAAGCGAACAGCAAGCCTCATTACTTCAGACTTAAGAGGATATTCTGTCGATCTTTGCCAAAACGACGATGTCTTCCATTAAGAATGTTGTAGGGGACAACTGGCAAGCTCTACGTCCCACCATAAGGGAGAGAAGCGCTTATCTTTTTAACAACGAACTTTTAAGCGACGTGAACTTTGTGGTCAAACGTCGTCTGGTGAAAATGACGATCGGTGCAGTGTAAAGAAAAGTAAAATGGTTATTCCCGCACACAAATTCGTGCTTTCAATTGGAAGTCCTGTATTTTTTGCCATGTTTTACGGTGAGCTGGCAGAGAAGAGAGATTCCATTGATGTTGTGGATTGTGAATACGAAAGTCTACTGGAATTGTTTCGTTTTCTGTACAGCGACAAAGTGAATTTCAACCCGAATAATGTCATGCGAGTGTTATACTTGGCCAAAAAGTCTCTTGTTCCCGCACTTGTGGATAAATGTATTGAATATCTGGGACAGATCTTGGATGGTTCAAATGTGTTTAGTATGATGGATTGTTCTCGAATTTTTGAGGAGAAAAGGCTTATGGAAAAGTGTTGGTGCGCGGTTGATAAATGTGCTGAAGACGCAGTAAAATCGGGTAGTTTCATTACGATTGAGAAGTCTGTGCTTGAAGCTTTGGTCGAGAGAGATACACTAATGATAAAAGAAGTGGAATTGTTCAAGGCAGTTGACAAGTGGGCAACAAAGGAATGTGAAAGACAAGAATTAGTAGCTGATGGAACTGTGAAAAGAAGAATTCTTGGAGAACGCATTATAAAGGCAATACGCTTCCCTATAATGGAGCAGAGGGAGTTTGTAGCAGTTGTCCTTGACAGTGACATTTTGACATCAAAGGAGGTCTATGATGTGATGAAATATCACAGTGCAGTGTTAACATCTCCAGTACGATTTCCAGAGACTATAAGAGTTGGTAATGCTCATCGTTGTTGCAGGTTTGGCTCAGTGCAGGAGAGTGGATGGTTTTATGACCCTGATTTGCAAGATGGTTTAGTTTTCTCTGTGTCCAAGTCTATCAAGTTGCATGGAATTTGCTTGTTTGGAAGCCAAGATAACAAATACACTGTCGATGTGAAGATTTCTCAACATCCTTACCTGACTGCTAGAGATGCTGCAAATTCTTTCCCAGATCTTGTAAGTCAGGCACATTTGCATCCAGTAGTATCAATGACAATGCTCTGCATTATGATGGTTTTATGGTTTTGTTTGACAAGCCAGTTGTTATTCTAAGCGAAGTTTCACATTGTGTAAGATCAGCCATATCTGGGCCTCCATCATGGTGTGGAGAAAATGGTGTTGCTTCCCTTGAGTGCTCAGGTGTAACATTCAATTTTAAGGAGGCCACAGGAGACAAAAATGGTACCAGTCCCAGACTGGGACAATTTCCACAGTTTCTGTTTACCATAGTGAAATAACTGATATTTCAACTTTGTCTTACAGGGAAGTTACATTAATTAAAAGTGTTATAGGCCTCTTCTCTTGCAGGCTGCATGAAAGTGTTCTGTTATAGATTCTTAGCTTGGTTATGGAGTTTTTTTAAAGTCTTAGATTCCTGATAATTGCATAAGACTGGACATTTAGGGCATGGTAGTACCTGGCTGTCCTTGTAAGCTGATCTTAGCCCTTTGTTTATGGATTCATAGTATTTTCTTTGTAAGCATATGATATCAAGTAATTTTTCACCCTCATCCAGTAATTTAAAGAACTTTGTTACTACTTTTTCTCATTTTAAAGCTTATATGTAAAATAATACTTCGCTTTTTATCTTTTATGCATAAAGAAACTTTGACCTATTTGAAGAAATAAAGATGTTTCAACAACTAACAATGATGAACTGTTTCAAAGTAATCATAATGGATGGTTATTAGACACATGTTCAAATAACATTCACGGATTGTACTCAGAGTGTAGTAACTAAAATTCAACTATGGTAGTTACCATAATAACTAGGGCAGCGTGGGAGGTACAGTCTTTGGCTTATGTCTAGGTAGTACTCAGGTATAATATGATGAAGGTACAATATACAAAGCCCTTTCTGGTTTGAAATTTATGATATGAGGATTTTTCTGGGTTAGAAATTGATGGATGAAAGATATCAATAAGAACTGTTTTTAGTACTGAAAAAACATGCACCAGTAGCTTAGGATTTCCCTTTTTTTGTGAAACAATTGAATCAGTCTCACTTACAAATGTAAACTAACCCATATTACAAGTAGACCTCTCTCTGTTTAAGCACTTAATCACTTAATTCATCCATGAAATTTTGTGAAAGATGCATAAAAAACAGAGAGAGGTGGATGCAAAAACTGTGCGAAACTGAATTCAATTTGGCCTCATTTGTACAGCCCCCCTGTCAGTAAATGAAAAACAGGGTTCTAAAGAGTGCAACTTCTTTTACAGGATTCTGCAAGTCAGAAAACAATTATTATAACTTTATTGCATAACAATACAAGTCAACTATTTAATAGTGTGACAATTTTTTAATTTCCTCAGTCTTCACAGGAACCTAAACTAACTTTATCAGCAAGTGAAGAGGGTAAACATATAAAATATTATTTTTTATCATAACATCAAAATGACACTCTTCATTTCCCATCTGTTTTCAGTATACAATTACATGTATGTTAATTTGTAACTTTAAAAATAACTTGCAAACTTTTGTCATAGTGTCTTTATTGATTTTGATAAATCTGAAAATATTTTCATATAATTTTATAATAATTTCTGGACAATCGCAGAACACTTAATTTTACAAACTCAAAAACAAACTTTGAGCAACAGATTAAATGAGACTTTGATAAACTAGCTTCAAGCAAACAGAACCTGGGAAAACAATGTAACCTTAAATAAACAATAGTCAATGATATAACAAACTTGTACATGTACCTTGATTGATTCATTCACCTTTATAAAGGGTTGCTCAGGGATAAAAGTGAGTGTGAGGTGAGGGGGATTCTTGGAGTGGAGGGGTGAGGAAACTTTTCTGCTTTGTTTGGGGGGAGGGGAGGGGAGATGAGTTCAGCAATAAGAAATAGCATTTAAATGGGAGGGGTTTGGATTTAAGGTGAATACATTTTGAGATGCAAATGATTCTTCGAGGATTTTCTTTGAGGGAGGGGAGTCATAGTAATTTTGGTTAACTAAATAATGGTTTACTCTCCTTGAGCACTTTCCCTCAGACTTGCTTAACCAGGGCTAAAATGTGACAGTTGCCAGCTTGCCAGTGGTGACTAAAAACCTAAAAGGGCGACCAAAACTAGAGTTTTAATCACATAATATGTGACTACAATACAAAAATTACAAATATTCAGCACAAGGTATTGCAAAGTACGAAGTTAAAATACAAATAAAATAATTAGTAGTTTAACTTTCTTTTCTTTCCACCAACTCTAATTTCATCAACTTTACTGAATGTTTAGTTAGTGGAAAATTCCAGGTGGATTAAATCCATAAACAATTCCAAGCCAATCCATACTTATTGAGACACCATTTGCCATGTGACTCCAGACTCATCCAGAGTACTGTGCAGTGTGTTTTCGTCGCATGTGTTATCACCTCCACAACAGTTTTGGATAATTTAATTAAATTATGACAAAAGTGAAGATTTCTCTGGTAGTCAGGATACTGAGTTACTGCTGACCGAACAACCAAAGAATAAGAAAGATGTTTAGGAAGTTAACCGAAATTATCAGTGTTGGAAACTAAATTTTGACGGCACTTGCCATTCAGGTGAGTAATTCTCAAAATCCACTGGCCCTGTGTAATTTTCACTCACCCAGAAGAATGCCCCCCACAAAAAAATATTCACAATGATTCACAAACCATAAATTTTTTTGGTATCTTGTAATTACAGAGGCCCGGTTTGCTATTTTGCGTTGTCCTTTCTTTTTCTGCTCCATTTAGGAGACCCCTTGTTAGGATTGGGGACTGATTTTACTGTTTTATCCTCGTTTTTATCATCAGTTTTTGACACTTCTTGGAAATTTTTCCACATTTCTGTAAAAACAGTTTAACAAATAACTGGCGTTACCAAATTCACATATATCCATGGAATCGAGACATAGGAGTGAACAGCTTGTTGGCCTGTAGAAGACTGATGTTTTCCCTTCAATAAAAAATTCTACTAACTACCTAAACCAAAAGATGACTACAACAGAGGCACTTTAATTTTCAAAGCAGTTTCTATTTCAAGATGTATCCTCGTGAGATACATTTCTTAGCAAGCGAATCTTTAATTCTCATGTACTAATTACTGCCGCCTCAAATAGAGACCAACAGTATCACTTCATATACGTGTATTGTAAATTATCAGAGGTAGCCGTTTTTCATTTCGTCTATTTATGAAACACTATACTGTGTGTTATTGCCAAATTATTTGGGCATCTTGAAAGATAAAACAGGTAGGAAAAAAAGCACTGGTATGTTTTTGTTTAGAGATATTGTTGCCAAAATGTAAAACAAAAAGGAGTGGTATAAATATTTAAGCTTAAACCAAAAATGAAAATGGTACTCCCCAAACGGGCAAGTGATCAATGATCTGTAATTGCCTGACGCTTTCCACACTTGCATTGGCAAGCAGCCGAGGGCTAATTTCCAACACTGATTTATGATTCTAACAAAAGAGTGTGAACATTTCAAAACAGTAAAAGGCCAGAAGACGAATATTCAGGTAAATTCAACAACAGAAATTCCAGGGCCACTTGATTTGGTCCTGGGCCACTTAGAGATCAAGGATACTGGTCTGGCTGGCCACTGCACACTGGAGTTAAGTTTTAGCCCTGCTTTAAACCTACATGTGTACATGCATGTTATTAGCCCTAACAGTAACTCCTCATTGGTAGGCTGCAATTCTACTTATTCTAAGCTGAATAGAAAGTGAGGGAACTGTCCTTCTCTAATACTGGTTTTCAAATTCTTCTTGTGGTTTTTGAAGCTAAATTTAACACCAGGACACTGAATGGAATTGACACCACTACTTCCATGCCAAATGATTGGCCCAGACATCGCAGCTTTCACATAATACAACACGCCTTTCTTTAGAAACAGAGGGTCGTCAAATATTATGTCGAAGCCATAAAAAGTACCTGATCCTTCCGTTAATTCCATGAACACAGAAGAGCATTTCCCTGTTTTGGTAGCCATAATGGAACCATCAGTGGAATCTCTGAGCGTTACCGTCACCTGGTATTTCCGACTTTGGCTTCCAAACATAGAGACTCCATGCAAGACAACTTCCCTGTCCACTGCAAAGTACAGGCAGTCTTGATGGTATGAGCGATAAGGAAGGTTCCCAGTTTCCAGCACAACAGAGCTGAATCGGCAACATCTCTGACGCAGACCACTCCTTTTAACTTTTAAGAATTCAATTGGCGAGGTTGAAACTGAGTTGTAATGCGCCTCCATAGTAAAAGCTTCTTGTATTGTTAATATTCTACAATCAAGAACAGCTTTATCAAAGTCATCCCGTGTCATGACAGGAAAACGAATTGCTTTGACAATCTTTTCTCCAAGGACTGATCTTTTTGCTCTACCACCAGGCATTAATCCCAATCGCTGGCATTCTTTTGTTGCCCAGCCATCGACCGCTTTGAATAAATCCACTTCTTTAATGTTTAATGAATCTCTCTTGACTAGTTCTTCAAGCAAAGGCCTTTTTATTGTGAAGAATCCTTCCATTTTCACCGCCTCTTCTGCATGTTTATCGATCACTTTCCAGCACTCTTTCACCAGACTTTTCTCTCCATAGCCTTGAGCGTGAGTCATCACGCAAAACACATTAGAAGTATTTAAGATTTCTTCCAGATACTCAGAGCATCTATCAACAAGCGAAGGCAAGATATACTTCTTGGCCAAATACAGGACTTGCATAACATTGTCTTCATTCAATTTTACCTCGTCGCAATACATAAAGCGAAAAAGTTCTAGCAAACTCTCGTACTCGCAGTCAGGGAGCGTGATAGAGTTTGACTTCTCCGCAAGATCGCCAAAGAACATGGCAAAGAATACTGGGCTACTTATCGCCAGTACGAACTTATGAGCGGGAATCGCCTTCTTGCATTTCTTGTTTTCATTCTCGTCCAATTGCACTGGAACGACAAAGGAAATATCACTCAGAAGCTCATTGTTGAACATAAATTTGCTTCTTGATCTAATGGTTGGTCTTGTTGTTTGCCATGTTTCTTTCTGAGAGGACATTTTGGAGAAATAACTGCATAGAGACTCAAAAAATATAATGTAACTTGAACTGAATTTTGCAAAATGGCGGGAAACAACAAACAACAACAAACAACAAATTTGCGCCAGGAGTTCACATGATATGACCGAGAGAGACTGTGAAGAAGTTGTATTTTAGAACCCGGTCCTACTCTTCCATTTCCTCTTTCCCGTGCCAACTCATTCATCATGGCGGTCGGCAAAAAACTCACTAAAGAAGACGAAATTTTGCTGCAAAACTTCAGTAGAACCGTCTCCACTAAATCTTCAGCATTGTTCTATGCCAACGCGTTCTTCGTCTCAGCCATTCCCCTCTGTAAGCATGTCGTTTTAGTATTTATTTCACTATTTTACATTATTGCATGTGCTCTTTGTTTGAATCAGAAATTGTGTGTAAGGGATTTGTGAAACTGATTTCAGGGCTGTTTTGGAGGATTCACCAGATGGACCCCTATTCTTCTGGTATCATGTTTGTTGTGATGACTCTGATCAGCACGTGGCTAGTGGCTTTTGCCTACAAGAACGTGAAATTTCAATTGAAACATAAGTGAGTATAAGGTTACAGGAAACCTTCAATATAGCTTTCCAAACACTTAGGTCATTTTAAATGTATATATGTTTCCTAATTTTATTTGTCCGCAATCACTTAGCCCTGATTTTGCGACTGAACATGGAAGATAAAGTGAGAATTTTTAGACTTCATATGATGAAGAGCTGTAGGTTTTCATTTTAAATTCATTTATTTCTTCAAATTTTTTTTTGTTACATGCAGGCTTTTTTTGAGCCTCACTGGCTCAGCAGCAGTGGCACATCTAGGGGAGGGGCCTGGGGGTCCCATCCCCAATTATTTTGGGTAAAAAAAAATGAAGAAAGAAGAAGGAAGAAAAGCCGGCAGGGCAAGCACCCCCCCCCCCTTCCCCCTCCTGGATCTGCCACTGAGTAGTCCTGCATAAATGCGATATTATTTTAGACCAGTGAATCAAATATGTGCTAATAATCTCTACATTATTTATCCCAAGTGTGTTTCAGGGCACACTCAACTTTATAGCAATTGGGTAATCAGATTGTGTTTGATTGATTTGGTCCCTGAGCATACATAAATGATAATCTAGATACAGAAACTGGTAACATATATCTCTTTTTTCATATATCTCATTTAACTGATATTGTTGAGGACAAATTCACACAACCACAATCCAGGTTAAAAAATTCTGTGTGCCCCAAGGAGTCAAAATCCGCAACCCTTGATATACTGTGACATATGCTAACCACAAAGCTACTGAGGGCACTAAGTTCATGTGTGGCATTTGTCCTGCATATTGTTAGGATCAACAATATTGAAAGTTTCCAGTATAGTGATAAATGAATCCTTTTGCGCTATGTAGCATAAAGAAGATAGGTTGAAGTACATGTCGGTAGAGTGAGGAGCGATGGCCTCATGATTAGTATGCTTGTCTCTAGATCGAGTGGTCTGGGTTTGAGCCTTGGCCAGGGACATTGCATTGTGTTCTTGGGCAAGACACTTTACTCTCACAGTACCTCTCTCCACCCAGGTGTATGAATGGGTTCCGGCAAAATTAATGCTGGGGGTATCCTTGCAATGGACTAGCATCCCATCCAGGGGGCGGTAGAAATACTCCTAGTTACTTCATGCTCTAGAAACCAGGATAAGTTCCGGCCTGATGGGCCACTTGGCTCATATGAAGACTTAACCTACCTTACATGTTAGTAAAAGATGATAAATACATTATGGTAAAATATCATTGTTAATTAGTTGGTCATACTTAGGTTAACAAATTTACTAATACAATAGTTTAACCAAGCTTAAATGTGTTTGCCATGTTGAATGTCAATCATTATGTAAACTGTAGCTGTACATGTATACTGTAGTTATAGCTTTTAAGTGTATTGTGTTACATGTTTATTTCAGGATAGCCCAGCGTCGAGATGCTTCAGTTACCAAAGAAGTTAGCATGGAGCTTGATTCTAACAAGAAGCTGACACGCCAAGAAAAGGATGAAAGGTTGAAATAAAATTTCATCCAGCTTAAACATCTTTTATGTGTTATAATACATACAACTGACTCTCAATGATTCAAACCTTCAAGGAAAATCAAGGAAAGTTTGAGTTATTGAGGGATTGTGCTATCGGGAGGTGGCAATGAATCACTGAAAAATTTGGAAATAGAACTATTTGTTTCAGTAAGGTTCATAACAAAGAAAGAGTAGCACAAGAACAGTAGTTTGCAAACATAATAAATCATAACAGATCTGAAGAGAATAAAACATAAGAGAGCAGCAGACAAATACTTTGGTTAGCTGCTGCAGTACATAGCTGCAACAATTTGTTTTAATAAAAAGAGAAAAGGACCACTCAAAAATAGTCTTGTAATCATCTCTGATACTTCACACTAATCTCTTTCAGCCCATCACTCAGAAAAACTTTGACAAATTGGACTTTGACCAATGAAGTTTGAGAGAAAATGACCTGAAAGAATAGAATTGCTTCAAATTAGCAGGAGGTTTAATTTTGGACGGGTTTGAGTAACCAAGGGTAATACCAGTCCGTGAAAGAGGCAAATCCAGGGGAAATCAAGTTTGGTTTGGGTTAAGGGGAAATTCAAGCTCTCTGGAGTTCAAATTATAGGGGGTAAACCACATTGATTTTGTGTTTTCAGTTTATGTTTGTACCATGTTAAAGGTTCCTTTTTCTGTATGCAGTGTAGAAAAACAGTTATTTATCCCTATTTAAACTCAGCAGCAATAGATGAGCTTGGGATTAGTTCCTTTAAGGAGGTGGAGCCATGTGTGTTGAAGCCTAGTGCTTACCTATTTAATTGGCTGCAATTTTAATGGTTATGTAAGTCTGTGTAAAATGATAATGTTGTAAAACTAATGTTAAGTTATGACTTTGTTTTGTAGAATCCTTTGGAAAAAGAACAAGGTTGCTGAAACTGAAGCCATCACTTTCTCCATATTTTACAACAATGCCCTGTACCTATTCTTGATTCTGATAGCATCATTTTATGTTCTGCGAACATTCAATCCTGCTGCGTATCCTTTACATTATCTACCTCTTTTATGGGAATTGTTACTAAGGGACAGGTTGGTGGTAGGCTTGATTACTAACCCTTCCTAGTTTGTCAGTGCTGGCACTGCTAAACCAGGAGGTTCTTCATTCCCTTCAATTTGAAAAAAGTCTTAGTAGAAGTGCTTGTTGATTTTCTCCCACTGTCAGGTCAAGGCTGTGCTCTAACAGCACCCGTTCACCTCAGGTAACCGGCTTCCATCTTTAGGTGACAAGAAAAACATACCAAGTTGCCTGCCCGGACAACCTCCTTTTTGAGATTTAAATTAGAGATGAAAACAGTCTCACAATTATTTGTCATTCCCTTTTTGATTTCTTATATAATGAATTTTACAACACAAAGACAAAATGACTGAATCCAGAATGTTTAAATCCATCTGGGAAGTCAAAACATGGGTGGTTCAATGGCTCGGTTCGATGCGTACGTTTAACACTGGCCTGCAGTGATACAGACAGCAGTTTCCTTGTATACTTCGTGTAGCACCAACAAAAAGTCTTCTTAGTTATTGTCATTTGTGTAATGTGCATTAATTTTTCTACATATATCAACCATTTTAAGTAAAAAATGTGTGAATTTCGTTTTTCATTGTGGACCTTTGACAACAGTATTACAAGAAAATTACATGAGACCCTTTTATCTTTGGCGTCTGTAAATAGGACGTTTTTATTTGAGGGTCAACTGGTTATCATATATTAATTAATAATATTATTAGATAATTTTAACATATTCATTTACTAATATTAGGTGAAAATGTTTTGTCACTTGTTTGAGACTAGTGAAAAGCCAAGTTTTAAACTTCACAGATTTGTCGCTAATTTGCATGTACACCTTGCTGTCATGGCATTTCCTTAACAGCATTTTAGAAACTATCTGCTGTCCACATCCTTAGCTGGTGGTGTGCTAGCTTTGCTGTCAACTGGATCATCTGCTTGAGAAGGAAAAGGATCAAAGTGGCTCAGCTGTCTTCCATTTATTGATTTTAATAAATGACATAGTTAAAAGATTTACTGTGTTCCATTATTTTTTGTACTATCTTTTTTTTCTGAACTATTCATCATTAACCTTTTCAATCCCACCTGGAAATATAAAATAATACTCCTTGTTGATTGATACTCATTCCTCTGAGAAAAACTTTGTAGNACTTTTTACCAGAGAACGCTATATCCTATGTTGTCATGATCAATCTTGGTAACGGATCCGCAATATTTTTGTTTCAATATTGTTGATTACAATTTTTTTTTCCTTTGTTTTCTTTCATTTTTTTTTTAAAAATCCTTCCTGATAGTATGGGATATGATTTTCAGCGATACGACTTATGGCCCATTCAGTGGCTTGTGGCGTGGCAGTCTGTATCCCACTTTATGGCTTGCAGCTGGGTGGCCTGAAGTATGGTTCAAATTTTCCGCACATATTTTAATTCAGTAGTATACACGACCCCACAAGCTTAGTAGCTCTACTCTTATTGTGTTAAAATAAAGATCAGTAAAGATCAATAAAGGTTTTATGTTATGTTTTGATCAGCGGTGCAGTAAGTATAAAATTTTATGCAGGCTACAAACTACATATGACCCAAGTGGCCCGTCAGGCTGGTTCCTTTTCTGGTTTTTGCTAGTCCATTGCAGGGCTACCCCCATTTACCGCTTGATCCGGAGACGACAGCACTAACTATGAAGCCACCGTGCCTCACACATTTTTTTCACAGACAGGGCGGCAATTAATGAAGTGGGGAGTGGTCCATGCACCTTTTAGCAGAACTAGTGATAAAATACCCGTTTTAGATCTGAATAGGGCACAGAGTTAGTCAATTAAGCAATAGTGTTTAAATTGGGTTAAGAAACATCACCACTGACCATAGGAAATAGTTTTTTATTTGAACATCAGCGTGAAGTTTAATACTAAGATGAAAAATTAT